GGCGCTGCCCGGCCTGCCCGGGCACCCGCCGGAGCTATGCGAGGAATGTCCATGCGCGCGGGTGGCCGCCCGCCAGGCCCTGCCGAGGCACATCCCCGACGTCAGGGCTCCCGGCAGCACTGGTGACTCCCGGCCCCACGCCAGGGAATAGTGTGGGAGCAGTGCCGCAGGGCAGAGCAGCCCCCAGCTGGAGGGGAGCATCGCCCCTCTCGCAGCACCTGGGGGGGGACCTGGAGCATCGCAGCTCTCGGGCAGAATAAAGCACAGCAGGGGATGGGGAACCGGGGCCCTGGGGGGGCTGAGCACCCCCAGCCCCCCCTCCCCAGCAGAGTGAGGGGGTTCACAGCACCCCACAGTGGGGCAGTGCGGGGAAGCTGCCCTCTAGGGAGGGTGGCCAGGCTGCCTGCAGCGGCCCTGCCCAACACCCCCAGCCGGATCCCAGCCCTCCTGTCCCTGCGAGAACGGCCCTGGCTTCGCCACTTCCCATAAGGGCCCCGGGCGCCCACACTGCCGTTCGGGGGGCCTCTTCCCTCCTGCTCAGGCCGCGGCGGTGCTGCAACCTGCTGCTGAGTCGAGAGTCCGGGAAGCTCTGACAGCCCCGTGGGTTTCTTGGAATAAACCCAACCTCACGGCAGCGGTGACGCAGCGGCCGGCGGGCAAATCCCTGCCAAAGGTTTCACAAACCTCTCGCCTTCCCCAGAAAAGCCGAGCGGACTTGGCCCCACGTTTCGTAAGCGGCTGATCAAGCGTGTCACAGGCAGCCAGTTCCCCTCTGCCCCGCAGCCGGGGCCAGCTGAGCTCACCCCTGCAGAGGCTTCCTGGACAGGGAAGGCGTTCTCGGCGGTGATTAGACCCTGTCGCTGCGTGGCAGTGCCGGGTGCCGGACGGGAAATGGGGCATGAGCGCAGAGGGTCATAAGCAGGGCTGGGACACCACGGTCCTGCAGCTCCCCCCACCCCATGTCTCCTGGGGCCAGGAACCAGGCGGGTGCAGCAAAGCTGCCTGCCGAGCCCAGGCCGAGCAGGGGACGCCATAGCCCTGTGCACCCTGAGGCCCTGGCTCCCATCTGCCTGACCAGGAGCACTCAGGCGATCGGCGATCCCCCAGAGAGGGACTTGGGGCAGCCAGCAGCAAGCACGGAGGTGGCCAGGCGAGCCAAGCTGGGCAACCCAGCAGCCGAGCAGGCGCCTGGTCTCCTTGCTGTGCCGTACCAGCTCTAGGACGGACCAGGCACCGGCACAGGCACCGTTGCCGGCACAGGCACCAGCACCGGCACAGCACCCTGCCAGGCAGCGGCCCCAGGCCCCGTCCTCCCTGCACTGGACGGGCAGCACACAGCTGGAGGCTGAAGCCGCCCGTGGGCTTTCCTCTGTGCTGGGGCTGAGCTGGCACCAGCAGGGACAGGACAGGACGGGATGGGACAGGTTGGCCAGCAGCTCTGCTCTGCCTGCTCTGAGCACGAATGACCCAAATCCGGCACGCTGGGTAAACCAGTGCTGGCCCTGCCCTGCCCTGGACACTTTTAGACGACTGCAGCCCCCTGCACCGACCAGCCATCCCACCAGGCCAGCCTGCAGCATGGGGCTGTGGGGCCCAGCCTGTTCCCAGCTGCCTCCCGGACGGGGAGACTTCTGGCTCACGCACCTCTCCACACAGCATGGGAGCCACAGGCCGAAAACCAGCAGAACTCATGGCAGCTGTAAGCACAGCCTGTCCCCAGTGCCACCGCCTCCTCCACGCCATGACAGTGGCCATGCGGAGCGGGGTGAGAGCGAACAGAGCCACATGAGAGCCCAGCAAGGTGCTGGGGCGCAGGAGGGTGGTTGGGCAGAGACAGGCAGCTGCCCCACTGCTCCTGGAACCCTCCGCCCTGCCCCAGCCTGGCCTCCCCAGAGGGGCGTGGGGCAGCCGTTGCTCCCCACCATACCGCCAGCTCGTTACTGGCACGAGAAGGAAGTGTCCACCGGGATGGTGAACCTGAACCCTGTGGGGTCAGGGGGTGCAGGAAACCTGCTCTGGTGCGTGCCAGCATCTGCAGACCCAAAAACAGGAAATAACTGCAGCCTGCAATTGCCGCAGGCAGACAGCCCCCGGCGGGGCAGGCAGCACGGCGGCCAGGGGGGCTTGGCCGGGCACCGTGGCTCTGCCGTGGGTACCCCAGCTGCATGGTGAAGCCTGGCTGTGCAAAGCCAGAGGCCAGAGGCCATCCCTGGGGAGCAGGACAGACCCACAAGGGCACCCCAGCCCCGCACCGGGACCAGCAGCCTGCCACCGGCCGCTGGTGCACAGAGAGCAGCCCCGTCCCCTCGCGGGAGCAGTGGCCATGCTAGGAGGGGACCTTCCCGCTTGGAGCATTCTTGTCCCACCTGGGCCACACCGGCTCCCTCCAGGCGGGATGCTCAGACAGGGCAGGCTGTGGTGCAGGTACCTGCCCCATGTCAGTCCATCTGAGAGACTCCATGGGACAGGCCAGCTGTGAGGCCAGGCATGACCCACAGCCCGCGGCGGGAGGGAGGTGGCACCGCATGGGGCACCTTAGGGGTGTCCCCCTGGGCTGGCTGGGCCATCACCCAAGGGGCTGGTCACCCACCAGCCTCTCCTGTCCTGGCACCCGTGACTCGTAGCGCCCATAGCCCGCGCGCCACTCGGAACACCCGAGCTGGGGGGGGAGCTCGCCGCCCGACCTCGCGGCACACCCCACACCCCCGCCGCCAATACCCCGACCTCGCGGCACACCCCTCACGCACTTCCTCCTGCCTCAGCTCCACAGCGCCAGGACGTTCCCACATCCACCACCGCATTTCCCAGTAGGATGCAGGAAAGGGCTGTGCAGCAGCCGGGGACTTACTGTAAATGGCACCACCTGCTCCTTACATGGCAATTCCTCTGTGGGCCAGGGCCACGAGGACGGTTGGGAACGGACTGAGACATCTGCTCTCCAGCATGCTGCTGGGAAGCACGAGCTCAGGCTCTGCAGCACAGCCTGGGGCTGGTGCCGGCTGCCCCGGCTGCGGGCTCGGGACAGGTGATGGCTCCCTGCGCTGGAGGAGGAGCGGGGCTGTGCAGCCCTGCAGCTTGATGTCCCTGGGGTATGTGGGAGCCCCCTGGTCCCACAGCATCCCCTCGTCTTGCCCCTCTGCCCCAGGCAGGCACACACAGCACGGCCCTGTGGTGTGGCATGAGATCCCTGGCCCTGGCAGGGGCTTGGCCGGCAGTAACCCATCCCATTGCTGGTGCAGAGGAGGCAGAGCCTTGGCAGCTGGGGATGCCACAGGGGCTGCCCTGAGCCCCTTCATTGCGTGCCTGGCTTGGCCCCTGGCTCTTCCCAGCCAGGGCAGGACCGCAAGCAGGCGGGGAGTGTGGGGCGGCAGCAGGACCCCCGTGCCCAGGCCTGGGTGTATTTTGGGATGCAGACAAGCCCAGAGGCCTCTGTACGTCCCCATGGAAACCCCTCTCTGTTGCTGCTTCTCCAGCCAGACCCGCAGTCAGCTCAGAGTGAGCCAGCAGCTGTGGATTCCTCACTCCTTCCATCAGCAGCTCCACACAGGGCTGCGCTACCCCGGCCCTCCTGCCCAGCAGCCACATCCACCAGCTCACCACTTCCCCTCGCCCGCTGCCGGGCCGGGGGTCCTGCTGCCCTACTAGCCAGCACCGCCCCAAGCTTTGAGAGACACAGACCCTTCACCTGCCCATGGAACCCTCCGAGGGAGCAGCCTCTCCCACCACCCTGCAGCCCCTGCCTGCCCCTGCCCACTCCCCCGAGCCTGCCCAGGGCTCTGTCCTGCACCCTACGACCACCAGCCACGGCGCAGGGCAGAGCTTTCACTGCCCACGCGGAGGCGGATGTTCAGAGTGGAACCCCCCCCCCGGCGCATTTCCACAGCCCAGGAGGAAGTTTTCATCCCGGCAGTGACAGCTGGAGCCCAAAGAAAGTCTTGACATTTCAGAGCAAGGTTTCAAACAAAGCCGCGTTGCTGTGGCAATGGCAGCCGCAGGCCCCCCCGCCCCATCCCGCGGCTGGGGACACAGCCAAGGCGGAGGGAGCAGCAGCCCAGTGCCAGCGGTGCCAGGGCTGCCGGGCAGGCATACAGCGGTGGGCCGTGTCCTCAGTGACAGCTGGAGCCCAAA